TAAATGTGACAAATTAATTGGAAATTAGTTAAGATTTGGATATAGCTCCCATATATATATTCTCGGCCGATTTCACGCATTTGACGCACCAATTTCAATGAAATATGAAAGGTGTGGCGGAATTTGGTGTAAAAGTAATTTTTTTAAAATTATATTTAAATCGTATCAGATTGGGATATGATTTTAATAAGAACCATTGACCCACAACGCCTTAGGCTAACACAAAAAAACAACACAACAATTAATTTGAAATACGCTTATTACGGCGAAGTATGTTGCTATCTCGAATTCATTAATTGCAACAGAAATGCCACTCAACTTCAAAAGATTGCAGTTTACTGCACGCTTGGTATTTGCTATGAAATAAATAAATCCGAACGACAAACCCTTCGTGTATATATGTCATGTTACTGTTTTTCTAATGGTTTTGTATATTTACGCATTAAAGTAGTGCAATATTTTTTTTTTTTTAATTATAAAATTTGTTTTTTTTAACCAACATATATTCGTAAATATATTTTTGAATGCATATAAAATCAAAAGGGGTAGCGAAGCGCACCGGGTTCAGCTAGTAATTTATATATGTGGTTACCACATGGAGATTGTTGATTTTTTATGGAGACCACTGTTGGTATATAGTTTGGTGAGAAGTTGGTGGATTTCCAAAATGTGCTGTTGAGTGAATGGATAGATTTTGAATCCTGAAATTTGATATTACAGTCACTGTTGGTTTCTAGGGTTTACATATGGAGACGTTGAAATAGTTGAGGATGTGGATCCATTGTGTAATGGTCTTACTAAAATCATTCTGTAGCTGTACCTGATAGCTGTTGTATCGCTGTTGTGGAGTGCATTTTACGGGTGTGAGGGTATGAAACTCGGATCAAACATATATGTGGAACCTATAGCTATATCTGAAGAGATTTTCACCAAACTGTGACCAAATCTCAACTGTATGTGGGTGCTACAGCTATAGCTGAACCGATTTTCAACAAATTTGACACACTTGATTCTAGGCTCAACTTGGTTGTTGGCCGCTTTAAATGATATATAGCCTGTTTTGTAAACAAAATACAAGTCGCATTTATTATCCGATTGACATGAAATTTTCAAACTATATTTGTTTGTCCTAAGGACGAACCCTATTGAGATTGGTGATAATCGGACCAGACTTACATATAGCTCTACCGATTTCAGGTTAATTGTGCACTAAATGGCTAATATCAGCCCAAATGGACTGAATTTTGGCACATCTAACCGAATTCAGTCATGAAGCAAGTACATCAAAGAATATCAGTTCGGTTATAGTTATAGCTCCAATATATGTTTCATGCTATTTGGGGTTATATGTTCCTCACATGCGCAAGAATGGTATTTGGTACAAGATATATACATCTTCACCCGCTTTCAGGTTTTTTTCCACCAAGTTTGGCAATTCCGACTGAATTTATCCTAAAAGCATAGCCATAGCTCATTCGATTTGGCGTTAAAGTCCCTCACATGCATAATATGCACTCCACAACAATGATCTTCGGCACCAGCCATCAAATACAGCCCAGAAAAGACTCTGTCAAATATTATCAAGATCGGTTCAGATTTGGATATAGGTTCCATATATAACTTCAACCGATTTCGGGTTAATTGTGCACCAAATGAACAATATCAGTTCAAATTTGGCATATCCAACTGAATTTAGTCTAGAAGCAAGTACCTTAAATTTGGTGAAAATCGGTTCAAATATAGCTATAACTCCCATATATATGTTTCATTTGATTTGGTGTTTAAGTCCTTCAATTTCGTAATATGCATTTGACAACAATGATGGTACCAGATATCTTATAAAGCTTTTAAATACCGTTGCCAAATTTTATCGAGAACGGCTAAGATTTTGATATAGCTCCCAAATATATTCTTAATCCGATTTCAGGTTCAGCCCAAATGGAGTGAATTTCGGGACGTAAGTTTCCATATTGTGCATCTTGGCTCCGATATATTTTTATACCCTACACCACATAGTGGTAAGGGTATTATGTCTTTGTGCATTTGTTTGTAACATGGAGAAGGAAATGAGATAGACCCATAGTTACTTTTGAGAACCTTCATAGAATCACTTTCTGAGTCGATTTATGCATGTCAGTCCGTCTGTCCGTCCGTCCATGTATTCTTGTGAACAAAATGCAGGTCGCATTTATTATCCGATTGAGATGAAATTTTCCAAACGATATTTTTTTGGCCCAAGGACGAACCCTATTGAAATTGGTGAGAATCGGATCAAATTTAGATATAGCTCCCATATATATCTTCATCCGATTTCGGGTTAAATGAGCACCAAATGTCCACTATCAGTCCAAATTACCTGAATTTTGGCACACCCAACCGAATTCGGCCTAGAAGCAAGCATATCAAATTTGGTTCAGATATAGCTATAGCTCCCATATATATCTTTCATCCGATTTGACCTTTAAGTCCCTTACATTCCTACTATGCACTCCACAACCGTGATAATTGGTACCAGATATTAGATGGAGCACAGAAATAGGTGTTTTAAATTTTATCGAAATCGGTTCAGATTTGGATATAGCTCCCATATATATCTTCATCCGATTTCGGGTTAATTGACCACCAAATGGACAATATCAGCCCAAATGGCCCGAATTTTGGCACATGTGACCGAGATTAGCCTTAAAGCAAATACAACAAATTTGGAGAAAATCGGTTCAGAAACAGCTATAGCTCCCATATATATGTTTTATCCGATTTGGTGTTTAAGCCTCTCACATTCGTAATATGCACTCCACAAGAATGATATTTGGTACCAGATATAAGATACAGCCCAGAAATAGCTGTTTGTAATTTTATCGAAATCGGTTCAGATTTGGATATAGCTCCCATATATATCTTCATCCGATTTCGGGTTAATTGTGCACCAAATGGCCGATAAAGGTCCAAATGGACTGATTTTTAGTACATCGGACCAAATTTAGCCTAGAAGCAAGTATATCTAATTTAGTGAAAATCGGTTCAGATATAGATATAGCAACCAAATGTATGTTTCATCCGATTTAGTGTTTTAGTCCCATACATTCGTAATATTCACTCCACAACCGTGATATTTGGTACCAGGTATTAGATGGAGCACAGGAATAGCTGTTTTAAATTTTATCGAAATCGGTTCAGATTTGGATATAGCTCCCATATATATCTTCATCCGATTTCGGGTTAAATGTGCACTAAATGGTCAATATCAGCCCAAATCACCTGAATTTTCGTACATAAGACCGCATTCAGTCTAGAAGCTAATACGTAAAATTTGGAGAAACCCGGTTCAGAGATAGCTATAGTTCGTAAAATGCACGATAGAATTAGATAGATTTTGATTTTGTACCAAATATCTCATAGAGCTCTGAAATGCCCTGTATAAACCTTTTTACGAGAGCTTTCCTTACTGGTTTAATACAATCCTTCGCCAAGTGATATCATGCACTCTATAGCAAACTATAACTTGAAATAAATTCTCCACTAAATATGCATAGTGGAGTAGGGTATCATATATTCGGCCCCGCCCGACTTTTTGACTTTTCCATACTGGTTTCAATTTAAGTATTCATGCACTCTATGACAATATTATTTGGTACGAAAAACATAAATGTCTGCGTTATACTTAAAAAGAGATTCATAATTCGTATATTCTACTTTACATAAATCCCCAAAATAAAGTTTTTTTTACGGGTAGCTCTGATAAACCTATCTTAAATATTGTGCTTTTGAGAGAAATGGTCAAAAACATTAAGTTCGGCTGAACGGAAATTAGAAAATATTTCTGTATAAAAGTATATGGATTCCAATGTGTTCCACTCTAAACTGCTAATACCATTGAGATTGGTTGGAGAATGCAGTTAAAGTTTTCAAATAACAATAAAGTGGGTGGAGTCGATATATTGGGGCAATACCGACAAAATTGAAACAATTCCGTGGACAAATGTGACTAGGATAATCAAAATACCGAATATTGGTAAGTACCGTTATATGGAAACCGTGGATAAATATCGACACTGTTCTGACATCGGTTGTTTAACCCATTGTAAACTAAAAACACGAAAAAATCCGTCAGAAAATGCGGCTTAAATCGGCAAAATACTGAATATCCGAAGGTACGACCTCAGGTACGAACCCATTACACAAGCTAGAACTCATTACGAACTACAAACGCCAATTTTTAACGCCAGTGGAAAAATATGGCCAAAACCATGAAAATACCAAATATTGGAGGGTACCGTTATATGAGGACTATATTAAAACATGGACCGATAGATCTTTTTTTCAATATCAGCCGTAATAGACACAATACACCTACTAACGCTCTACGTCAAATAATGTGGAATGTGTATCGCGATTTTAGCAGACGGGCATTGCTAAATCGACTCACGCTGATCATGAACATATATACTTTATGGGGTCTGCTACAAATATTCAGAGGTGTTAAAAACGGAATGACAAATGTGATATATCCTCCTTTCCATGGTGGAGGGTATAAAAGAACATTCGAAATTCATTTCAAATGCACACTCAACCTATTCCTATTTGAACTTCATTCTGTAGGGTACCTATATTTTGTTGACAAAACTCGTAAACAGAAAACTACGTCACATTTGAAAACAATTTCTGTTGGTTGCATTGAGTGTGTGTGTGCTCTCCCTCTCGTAGGGGTTGCACCTAATGTATGAGTGAGTGTGGTTTGTCTCTCTCTCTGTCTATTCATTCAGTCAGTCAGTATATATTAACATTGTTGTTAAATGTGAAATACTAAATGAAACATAAACTGTGACTAAATGAAGAAGAAAACTTTGGAGAGAGTTGGCGAGAGAGACGAGAGAGAACACTGAGTGAGTGATATAGAATGTGTGGAAAACTTTTATTGGCGAAAAGCTTTCAATTTTGTGTTAGCGTTATGGTGATGGTGGGCGCCTTACATCCATCCAACAGCTAGCCAGCACTGAACTGTGGGCAAAGTGAAAATACAACGGAGGTGCAGAGCAGAGCGGAACAGAGCAACGTTGGCAGAGAACTGAGCTGCAGCGAAACAAATCAAATCAAATGAAACGAAATCAAACCCTATGTTGTACACAGCGGCCAAGTAAATCAGTTAGTCGCAAAAAGAACGCCACGCGAATTTTATCAAAACAATCATAAGCTGACACACCGAGCGAGAGAACTAGGCGAAATCGAGCAAACTGAAATCGAAATAGAAAAAAACACACCATTAAACCATTTAAATAAATTTAATTTATTTCCCTTTAATTTGCCAATAAAATTTTTTGTTGTTGTTATTTTTTAACGAAACAAAAGCAAAAATCCAAGTTAAACGAGAATTTTCAGTTCGAAATAATTTGCCAAATTTCCAAAGATTTTGTTCGCTTTAAAGCCCCGACAACATAGTGATATCAAAAATCAAAGAATAAATCTAAGAAAAAAAAAGAAAACTGAATTTTGATAAGAAAAATTTTCTACATTTTCTATAAGAAAACAAAAACAAAACCAAACAACAAACGACATAAAGTGCATTAAACAATAAATCCTCAACAAATAATAAATTAGCAGTAAAACTTGCAATTCCGCCGCAATACAACGAAACAAAAAAAAAAAAAAAAAATAAAACAGATAAATTGCGCGTTTTTCCTCCGCTCCAAATCAATTGCCAGAAATTGCAATCGACTTGTAGTTGCATCAACAATTGCCATTACCAAGGACAACCAAGCAATCTATAGCCTAGCAGCCCAGACCAGCCAAGCCAAGCCAGGCAAACATTCAAAACCTACCACAAGGATAAAAGCGACGAGGTCCTGACAACGCAGCCATAAATCAAAACTTTATCCTCCAAAAAAAAAAAAAAAAAAACCAGTGAAACAGGAAACTTCTTCTCGAGTCATTAGCAACAACTAATAACACAACCTCAAAAACTACTCTCAGAAGCCAGCAGAAGAAAAAACAACAACTTTTAGCAAAATGTCATGGAGATATGCGGTAGGTTGTTGTTATAAACTACATAAGCCTTTTTTTTTCATTTCTTTTTCTTGTCAAAGTACATATGTACATAAAGAAATATGTACATGAAAGGTGTATATAACACATACATATGCAGTTTCAGAGCATATATGTGTGTGCAAACAAAGTGTATTTATTCTTAAAGAACTTAGATTATAGTTACCAACAAATAACCTAACCCAAGCAACCATCATCACAATCCGCCATCACCACCTTCACCTACATCCCTCCCCCTGATGTACACACGTTTGGTGGCGGGTTGCCTACAGCATCTTGAGAAGAGATTTTGCAATCACAGCCTCCCAGATGTAGACTCACACACAAACACACCACCACACTTTCACACGCATTTCTAGGTTTAACGACGCAATATTGCTTTACTCCCCCACGGCGCACACACACACACTCACACACATTCACATTTTTTTAGATAAATGATCCTGGAGAAGAATTGTTGTTTGCATTTAAGTATGCTGTAATTCTATAAATAAAGTGTTCTTTCGCAAGTATATATGTAAAGTAAATTTGGTATATAGGCCCATAAATTGCCTCAGCATATTAAAGTGGGTCATGATAAGCTGAAAAAAAGAACAAAAACAATTAACAATGGCTATAGGTTCGGCCTTCGTCCTAAAGACATTTTTACAATAAAAAGTCTGCTATAAAGGACAACTAACGAATGGACCACCACTAGAGAAGTTAAAGTAAAACAATTAACAAAAAAAAAAAAAAAAATACATTAAGTTCCGCCGCCCTCCACCATTGGATAAAGGAAACATTTTTATATAAAAGTATCTGGATTCAAAAGCGTTCCACTTTAAATTACAAATAACAGTAAGACCGTTTGGAAAATGCTGTTAAACTTTTCAAAAAACCATAAAGTGGGTGAGAGGGTTGATGGAAGCCATATCAAAAGGGGATCCCACATTGACAATTTTATACTTCAAGTATTATCATATACCAAATCTTCTAAAATATGAAATGTTAAACAATTTCGTGGGTAAATGTGACTAGGATTATCAAAATACCAAACACCGGTGGGTATAGTTATATGTGCAAAACGTGGAACTAAATATGCAATGTTTTGCCACCGGGCTAGAACCCATTATGAACTGCAAATACCAATTTTTATCAAAATATCGAATATCGGGAGGTACCGTTATTTGGGGACCATACCAAAACGTGGACCTATACATACAATGTTTCGCCATTGAAGCTAGAACCCATTTTGACCAACAAATACCAATTTTTAGAAGAATCCGTGGAAAAATGTGGCAAAAATCACCAAAACACCGAATATCGGGAGGTATCGTTATATGGGGCTATGCAACAACGTGGATACCTTCAATCTTTCGCCACACGAGCTAGAACCCATTATTCCCTACAAATACCAATTTTTAGACAAGCCCTTGAAAAAATGTGACAAACATTTTCAAAATACCGAATATCGAGGGGTATCGTTATATGAGTGCTATAGGAAAACATGAACCTAAATATGCAATGTTCCGCCACAGGAGCTAGAAGCCATTAAGCACTGCAAATACCAATTTTAAGACAAATCCGCGAAAAAATGTGACAAAAATCTTCAAAATACCGAATATTGGGAGGTTCCATGGGGGCTATACCAAAACGTGAACCTATACATACAATGTTTCACCACCGGAGCTAGAACCCATTGCTAACTCGAAACACCAATCCGTGAGAAAATGTGGGTAAAATAATGAAAATACCGCATATCGGGAGATACCGTTATATGGCGTCTATATCAAAACGTGGACCAATATATCTCATTTTCAGTATCAACTATCCTAGACACAATACAACGTATTGTGGCAAATTTTGAAGCTATACATCAAATATTGTGGGCTGTATCGTGATTTCAACAGACAGGGAGACCGACGGATGGACAGACATAAAGACGGACATCATTAAATCGAGTTAGAATTTTATGCTGATCATAATTATATACTTTATGGGGCCTACAACGAATATTTAGGGATGTTACAAACGGAATTACAAAGTTAATATACCCTGTGCAGCAATCCATCCAATATATTGGAGCTATAGCTATATCTGAGCCGATTTTCTCCAAATTCGATGTACTTGCTTCTGGGCTAAATTCTGTCGGATGTGCCGAAATCCATTTCATTTGGAGGTATATTATATATAAGGCTCACAATAAAATTGAAATCGGATGAAAATATGTATGGGGGGCTATATCTAAAACTGAACCGATATTCAGCAAAATTCCCAGACAAATATCTGGAATAAATTTGACAGCGTGTGCTAAAATTCATTTGATTCGGTCTGATATTACGCATTTGGTGCACAATACTTATGACATCGGAAGGCACTATATATGAAAGTTATATCCAAATCATTCATAAACCGACTCAGAATGTGATTCTACGAAGATCATAATTTCAATTCAAGTTTGGTCCTTAATCTATACTTGTTCACCCTATGCTCCTTTGTTCTTTTACAAAGAAGCCAGCTAAAGCCATTCAAAAAAGCGTTTTATGTAATCTCACCTTCACTGGGGAACCTTTGGTCCATTGCGAGGAAGAAATGAGACATTTCGGGATAGGAGAGACAAAGAAGCGAGAAGAAGAAGAAAAAATGTATAGAGAGAAGTGTAGTTAGCAAAGTGGTTTTCTTAGCGAGTTGATGGGATCCATGTCATCTCTCATCTGTCAAACGCCCAATGTTTCTTGTTGAATAACATGGGACATCTTTCCATAGTCGACAGTAGTCAGGAACTCTGTTGTCCGATCTGTCGGCAGTGGCCAGTCAATATGCCTACAGCGATTCTAAGATCAGGCCTGCTAATTGATGGGGCTGGTTCTTATTCTCATTCTCCCTTTTGATGGTTTAACAGTCTCATCAATCGGTGTATCAATTGACTGGAATGCGCCTCGAGCTAAAGAGCAAAGAGCCCGCGTATTTTAAGGAGGGAGGCTTTGCAGTCAAGAGTGATTCTCGATTTAATGGCACTTGACTTCATAGCTTTAAAGTCCGCTTGACTATCGACATATATATTTGATGACATTAGCAGCATTATTCATCGGAACTGCTTTAAATTTCGTATTCGAAGTTCGGATATCCCCATAAAACGGGTTTCATTTGAGTGATTTTCAAGTTCGCTTCAAATGTTGGAGGGTATTAAAAGTTCGAATTAAGCTGCCGTTTTACTTGTTATACCCTCAGCAATTTGGCTACTGAGAGTACGTCACTTTGGACCGAATTCGTTTCAGAACAAGTCGATCTAGGTGGCTTGTGAGCACGATAACTCTCGAACTTATAATTTAAGTTTTACTTTTTTTGGCTTGGCGATCTATGAAAATTCCCAATTTGGGGTTTGCCAAATTATTTTCCTTAAGAACTACATCCTAAAAGTGGCTTTGTATTGGTCCCTTGTATAAGTTTAATACTTAAGAACTTCGAGTAGAACACAACATCTGTGAATTATGTTTTAATCTTCTTCTTGCTGTTAGTTTGAACCATGTTTTTAAGTATATAATTTTGTATGTACGTGTCGTCTGTTTGTATTAGGACACAAAAACTGCATTAAGTGCACATGAACTCAAAAAGAAATGCCATGTATGTACATGCAATTGTTGTTCTTCAATGTTTGTTGTCTGTGTTTGTGTGCGAATATATATAAACCACGACAACACGAAATACATTGAAAATTGTGTGTGTGTGTGTGTGTGTGTGTGTGTGTGTTGACCTTGATTTCCGTGTTCCGATGACCTAAATTTTGCCCATGTACATGGACATTCTTTAACCCCTTAGATATCCATATATATACATATATATGAACTCTTTTCATTGTATTTGTATTGTGGATGATGTTAAAGAGAGTGCAGCTGATCCAACTGATGCTGAACTGTATATGAATTTGTATGTGTGTGTTGGCTGTACAATGCATTGTGATTGGCATTATTATGATGTTTTTTTCATTCTCTCATTTATTTTTAATTTCCCTCTATAAAATATTACTATTTGGTTTTGTTTGTTGCAAATAGCAACTTGTTTTCAATTAGTTTCAATTAAATGCACAGTGAAATGAAAATATTTAATTGTTAGAGTAGATGACAGGGACTGATGGAAAAATTTTCCATAGAAAATTCGTCCTCAGTCCTCGGAGAGAGAGACTGATGGAATAATTTTCTATAGTAAATGCATCCCCAGTTCTCGGAGAGAGGGGCGGATTAAAGAACTATGTATAGAAAATTCCTCCTCAGTCCGCGGAGAGAGAGAGAGAGAGACACTGATGGAAAGTTTTTCTACAGAAAGTTCTTTCTCAGTCCTCGGAGAGAGACTGATGGGGAAACATTTTCTATAGATAATTCCTCCTCAAACCTCGGAGAGAGAGACTGAAAAAATTGTCTATAGAAAATTCCTCTTCAGTCCTCGGAGAGGGCCAGATTGAAAAATTTTCTATAGAAAATTCCTTTTCAGTCCTCGGAGAGAGAGGACTGATGGAAACATTTTCTATAGAAAATTCTATCTCAGTCCTCGCAGAGAGAGACTGGTGGAGAAAGTTTCTATAGAAAATTCTTCCTCAGTCCTCGGAGAGAGAGAGTCTGATGGAAAATTTTTCTATGGAAAATTCCTCCTCAGTCCTCGGAGAGAGAGAGAGAGAGAGAGAGAGAGAGACTGATGGAAACATTTTATATGGAAGATTCTTCCTAAATCCTCAGAGAGGGAGACTGATGGAAAATTGTCTATGGAAGAGTCTTCCTTAGTCCTCGGAGAGAGAGACTGATGGACAAATTTTCTATACAAAAATTCTTCCTCAGTCCTCGGAGAGAGAGAGAAGAAGACCTCAGAGAAGACCTCTCACTTCCAACCTATAGAAGTAGAGAAGACCTCAGAGAGGTCCTCTCACTTCCAACGTATAGAAGTAGAGAAGACCTCAGAGAGGTCCTGTCACTTCCAACGTATAGAAGTAGAGAAGACCTCAGAGAGGTCCT